CGTCCTCCCACCGCATCTAAGAGCTTTGGGCTTGTCGTCTCCTGCATGGAAGCAATAAAAGGATCATTTGTACCCCTCCAAATTTGTCAAAGGGTGCTGTCATTAGTGCAGAGGTCTGTGGGCCAGACTAAGCCGCTGATTATTAAGGCTCAATGGGTTAAGGAGCCTGCTGGTGAATATTATGTATGAGAATAAACTTTTTTTTTTGATTGTACATGGCCTCTTGTTCTCAATATCTAACATGATGTGTGGCACTGACACTGACACTCTCGGACGAAAACTTTAACTTGCACAATTGTGCTGAATAAAGATGCTGTTTTCTTCTGTAGAGCTGCTTTATACTAAATTGAATTTGTTTCATAATTGACAAATTTTGCAGCATCATCACTGTTATTGAACTCAACTGAATCAACATTGAACAGCAGAAATTGATTTGTCTCATATTTGATGAAGTTTGCATCACTGATTCTGTTATTTTCCTCTTTTTATTACTGTGAAGCTGCTTTGAAACATTGTATTGTATAAAGCGCTATATACATAAAAGTGACTTGACAAACTTTTCTAGATGAAAATAATTAACATTTTTCTTGTTTACAGACACCACAGAAAGTAAAAGACAAGTCCGCAGCAGGGCCTTCTGGGAAGACTCCCGGCACTCCCAACCTGAGTGAGGTCAAAAGCAAACTTGCATCAGCAGCTAAAGAGGTACAAATACTCAACATATTCCCTTTCACATTGATATTTGTCTCTCTGCTACATGTGGATGCATTTCTTTTCTGTAATCACACACATGCCTTAGCCCTGACATACAAACAAACACACACACATGCTGTGTGTTAACAGTAAGTAGGCTGACTTAGCAGATGATGAGGTGCTCAAATGTTAATGAGGTGTCTGAGTTAAAGGCCGGAGGGGGAATGAGCAGCTATATGACATCATCATGTCAGGATTATCCAGTCCTTCTGAGTCCACCTGCTCACTTCCTCAATCAGTTCGCAAATGCATCCCCTGACTACTAAACCTCTTCATCCTCACATCCTCAGATCTGTAATAGCCTCCTGATCTTTGCGAGTCTCTCATTACATTGCTCTGTTTTTGAAACCAATGCTGCTCCTTTAAATGTTAAATGACTGCATGCAAACACACCATGCAGTGAGATGCTATAATAGGATTTTTTTTTCTTAATGTGAATTTACCTCATGTGTGATATGCTGTTTTTCAGTTTGTCAAAACGAACAATGCAAGCTATAAACTATGCATCCAAGTAGGCAGTAGTACAACACCATAAGCAGATGTTTAAAACTGTATATGCAATATTTGATTTTAAAATATGCAAAACTCTCTTGTATCGTCAGCACCACCTACACTATTGTTCAAACACTTGGGGTTGGTACACGTTTTTAATGTTTTTGAAAGAAATTTTATGTTGAACGAAGTCTTAAGCTCACCAAGACTGCATTTATTTGATAAAAAATACAGTAAAATCAGTAATATTGTGAAATATTATTACAATTTCAAATAACTGTTTTCTATTTTAATACATTTTAAAATGTAATTTATTCCTGTGATGCAAAGCTGAATTTTCAGCATCATTACTCCAGTCTTCAGTGTCACATGATCCCTCAGAAATCATTCTAATATCCTGATTTGCTGCTCAAGAAACATGTATTATTATTATTATTATCAATGTTGAAAACAGTTTTGCTGCTTAATCTTTTGTGGAAACTATGATTGTTGAATACAAATGTGACATTTTTCAGAATTTTTCAATGTATAGAAAGATTGAAAGAAGAGCATTTATTTGAAATAGAAATCTTTTGTAACATTATAAATGTATTTACTGTCACTATTGTTGTTTAAGTATTAATTTCTTTAAAAAAAAATCTTACTGACCCCAAACTATTGAATGGTAGTGCACATACTGAGGGACTAGTCAATTATTGTCTGTGTGTTTATATAATTTATATTCGTTTTTTCGTAATATGTCAGTATATTGTTTATTTATTTTTATTATTTTTTTTTTCAGTTTTAGTTATTTGAGGACATCAAATTAAAACATTAAGTCAAACTAAATGTTAACTTGGCACCTAGCTGAAATAAAATACATTTTTGTTTTTGATATTTTATTTTGTTTCAGGAATTATTTTATATTTTTATGCTTTTTTTAATTTAAATTTGTAAGTTTTAGTAAGTTGGTTTTGTGTTTTTATCATTTTTATTAGTTTTGTCAATTAATTTTTTATGAATCTTTATTTCAGTTTTAGTTATTTTCGTACATCAAGTTAAACTAAATTAAAAATTAAATATAACAATGTTTTATTTATTTATTTTAGTTAGACTTTTTTATTTCAAGTAACGAAAATGTTTTTAGGTCATTTACACAATACCATTGTAAACTGAAAACTTAAAGTTTTTTAACCCATCTTGACTGCTATTTTACACAACAACAGTGTTTTGGGGGCCTGAAAATGCAAACAAAAAATTTGATTTTGAATAATCAAAATAATGATACCGTTATTGTCTGCGTGTAAACTGTCAAAACTCTAAAAAACACACTAAAGTGTTTTTAGTTGTTTTCGCGAATCTGTGTGAACGGCATCATTTTGACAGCTTTGTATGTGAAACCTTTCAAAAGCACAAAGGAAAAACTTCCTTTTCCAATTTTTAGCGCATCGTTGTCGTGTCGCGTAACCCTGCCTCAAGGGGGCGATAGAGTTACCTTGAAACATTTCAACATAGATGTTATTATTCAGGTCACTAGGTAAAAAACAAGTGAAATACTTGCATTTGAGTATATTTTAGGCCTTCTGTCTTACTGGGACAGTTGGGGGTGTCATACTGAGTTCTTTCTGCTGCTCTCTTTTTTTTTTATTAGCAAATGAAATATGTACTGATTGACCTCTTGGCATTCAAAAGAACAGGAGGGAGCTGTCACACCTGACATCTTTAGCTGTGATTTAAATCCCTCCTTCACTCATTACTCTCTCGCCGTCTCTTTTATTCTAGAGCTTTTTTTGCATTTGTACGTGTCAGGCTGGGTGTTGACCTAAAATATTGCAGTAGTCTAAAGCAGCCCTCACAAATGGCCACGTTTGGGTCAAAAGAGAAAAATCTCTCTTTTAACTAAAGCACTATCATGTCTGCTGTAGCTCCTCAGGATGAATTACTCACGAGAGTGCAAATGTCAGTGTGAGTGTCTGTGTGTGTTAGTGGTACCAATGGGGTGGATCTTACAAAAACACATCCAGGTCTTATTTTACCCTAATATTTTTCCTTTGTGATCTTATTTTTTTCCATTTAAGCATATGTTAAATTTAAATTAATTTATTTGACAGACGTTTACACATTTCTCAGTTTCTTGGGCATCAAACCCATGACTTTGGTATCTGCTTTTTGAGCTGCAGGAACACATATTAAAACACATTACCCTTTTTTCACATTCCCTAAAAATCAGTTTGTAGGTAGTACAAGTACTACATCATGCCATTATTTGTTTTTTTGTATTAAAGGGGTCCTATTATACTTTTTCACTTCTTCAACTTTAGTTAGTCTGTAATGTTGCTGTTTAGCAAGACTTTGTAAAAGAGCATAATAGGACCCCTTTTTTTGCATTTGCATTCCCCTGCTTAATGTTACTGTGATTTTCTGTTCTAAAACCTAGCGAGCTGCATATCTAGACAGCATTTTAAAGCATCATATATAGATAAATTATTTTGAATTTTTTATATTTTTGAATACAAAAAAAAAACAACCTTAAGATAAATCTGTAAAATAGACAGATTTATGCTTTACGTAATCAACTTCTTGATTCTGTAATTCTATTATAGTATTTTACACAAATCAAGAAATTTATGAAAAACAAGAATAAAGAAGATATAACAGCTGGATTCGCTTGCAAGATATTCAATATTAAAATGCATATTTGCTGAATGCATTATATGAAAAAAAGGTAAATTAGACAGGACTGCACTCTCAGGTTCTCAGCACTTTCAAACTAGAAGTCCCTTTTCCGACACTTATTATGGGCCAAACAGAAACACTTATCGGCTGATATTTGACCCGCCCCCAACCACTTATTTATTTATTTATTAAACAAAAACATTTTTTTTAATGATCAGAAACAGTTTTTCTGTTTGGCTGATGAGTGTCAGAAGCACAGGAGCTCCCATTTTCCATCTTCATTTGTTATATCAACCCTGGTCGATATATCAGTCGGCCAATATTTGTAGATGTGTGAAGACAGAAGAAACAGCTGTTCCAAAAGATGTTGAACGTGTTGATTATAAATATACTTACATTTCATTCAATACCCAAAACGATTAAAATGGACTATTTTTGTGTCCAATTTTTGTATGTTTTGTATTTTTATACTCATATTGTTAGCAGTTCAGTTGAGTCAAGTCTGCTGTGCGCCGTTTGTGTTCATTGCTGCCTATGAAGACGGTTTCAGATCACTTATGAGGTCCCATTTCAGTTTGGATGCTGCCTTTGAAAGTATGCAGCAAGTCAGCTCTCTAGCATTTGGAACAGAGTTTAGATGTTTTTGTGTTTTTGGTCGGTATTGAGTTATGAGCTATTTGATGCATTGCGCGCTGTGTGTCAGTTCTAGAAATAAGGCTGGAGTGTGTCAGATTTTTTTAGTGCAGGTGTCCTCTCTGTTCAATGGGTGGAGCGTGTGTGTTGAGAATGTATTTTCGAGCAAAAACGGCTTTGGGAGCACATCAGGCAAAGAGGTGTGAGACATGTCTTTGTCAAAGAGAGGCACTAGTCATACCCTCTGGTATGTACAATGACTGCACCCCCTTCCTCTGGGCTCGGCGTTGTAGTTATACCCCAGACGCACTGCTAATGTGGAGCTTTTCCTCCAAACTGACTCACACAGCTCTAATTATTAAGTATCCAAATGAGTCGCTACATCAGAAAAACTCCGTTCCAGCTTCACCAACTCATCCTTTTCCCCCTCCTCTCTCTCTCTCTCCCCATTTGTTTTCTTGCAGGTGATCAAAGACCTTTGGAACTTTTTACAGTCACTTAAAAAGTAATGGCTGCTCTGCGCTCCCCTTCCCGTCCCGGTGCAGCAGAAGTCTGGGGTGAGCCAGTAACAGCACTTCAGCTGTACGATCTGGCCTCTTCCCGTCTTAACGCGATCTGCCTGCTCTTCTCTCACTTTAAAGATGGATAGAGCAGAAGGAGCCTCAGCAATGGCAGAGATATCATGCTTCATGTTTTTTATATATATTTCTTTTAATTATGGATTTTTTTGTCAAGTCCACAGTGGTTTCTTAAAAGAACATTTAATGGGATGTTTTGCTAAGACAGTTATAATTTTAAAAGAGAACTAAGGGTGAATCTCACTAAATCTTATCAAGAACTTGTGCGGGTCATATTTTACCTCAAAAGAAATTATATTTTGCGTGTAGAAAATTAAGCCTATTTTGGACTAAAATGTTTTGCATTATGGCTTTTTTTCATAAGAATTAAGCACATTTCCCCCAATTCTCATTATCATAATGCCAAAAAAAAAATGTAAAAAAGAAATGTGGGAAAAAAAAATAGTGTTTTAGCAAAAAAGTGTTTATGCATCATGGAATGATTTGTGGTAGATATGATAATTTATGGTGACGTAATAAAAATGTACAGTATAAAATAAGTTAAATTGTACTATTTTATAATAATATGAATCACCATTAAGAATAACGTGGGGGAAAAAATACTTTAGTAACTCATTCTGGCACATTATTGTAATGAGAATTTGCAAAAATGTTCATGGTCATTAAAATAGCCTTTTTTAAATGCAAAATATAATTTCCTTTGTTTAGTTTTTTTTTTGCTTTTTTTTTGCTTTTTGGGTAAAATTTGATCCTGGGTGTTTTTGTGAGCATCACTCTTAAATAGAAAATAGAAAACCAATATTGGTTGGTGCTGGTTTATAACAATTTTATTTTTATTTATTTTATTTTTTTTGTAAGGCCATTTTAAAAAAAAAAGAAAAAACAACAACAACACTTGAAAGTTATCTTGAGTAAAATAGATTTTTTGCACTACCAGCCCAAGACCAGTTTGCTTCTTGTATATATTTTTTCAAACCATAATCACTGTAAATCATCCCATTAATTTCTTTGTGTGAAGATGGCAGCTGAAGTGTAGTAATGCTAAAGATTCAGTCACAATCTGAGTGTTCCGTCTGATTGAAGATTCCGTCCAGTTCACAGTATTCTGTGCAGCCCTCAGGATTCTGCCTTGCAGCAATTCCCATGGCCTTCAACATTTAAACAATTATCAATTATAATACAATTAATTATCAGTTAATACAATTATGGCCAGAATATAATACATTGTTAAAAAGATGATTGATTGTTTAGGACATTAAATATGATTGATTAAAACAAAAAAAGAGGGTGTTTAGTTGATCTGATGCCTTCAAATCCAGCTTTCGCTTTTTATGTTGTTTTTGTCAGTTGTTTTTATTGTTTTTTTCACTAAGCCATTTTAATTTGCTAGTACTAATAGTTAAAACTCTGAAATATACGTTGGTGTTTTTTTTTTAAAGCAGAAGAATCTGTCTTTGATCTGTTTTAATTAGTTTGACATGTTGTGTTGCCCTGTGAAATTGGTACAAGGGTGATTTTTTTTTTCACACATAGTATATGCTGCAAACAAGCAGTGCATTGCAACACAACTGTATTGTTCAATTATGATCAACAAAATGGTTTATAATGCAGTCACACAGTGCTGCTTGTTTGTTGATGTTGATTACATTGGGAGCAGTTAAATTTTGTCACATCATTCTGCTCACTTGCATTGTTAGATTGGCTTTCTTGAATGGAAATGGAGGTAATCCGGCTTTAGTTAATCTGTGAAATAAATACTGTATAACAACTTTTTGTCTGTGAATTATAACAATGTGAAGTTGCCTATACCTTTAACCATGGCCTTTGGATGAAGGTAACCAAATGCACCAGTAAGGTGTTGTTGTGACTGCTAACATCAAAGGCCGGAGACAAGATCATGTTCTTACCACGTAAAGTTTTCAGAACAAGACGTCTGGCTAGACTAGCACAAAACAAACTATATTCTGCACCTTTCTAATCTGAAAATGTTCAGTGCAATGCCCCATACATATGTATGTTGCATTGCACAGTTGCACCATGCAGCGTCTTGATTTTAGCTGTCCATCAGTAGTCGTTTCATTTACAAATAACATAGGTGTGAATTGATTGATTTAATGATTTCATTGATTTTTTACACCTACATCTGAACGTTGAATCAAAAGCAGCTCTGATGAAGTAAATGTTAGATGATGCTCTACATTCTTGTAACACTCAAAGACTGACTAAACAGTTTACTGTTTAGATGTCTTCTGTTCGACCTCAGCAGTCCTTTCTCCTGCTCCAGAATGTCTCCATCCCATTTCTCCTCCTGAGGTGTTCGCCTGATTCCGTTCTATCATTGTCAGAAACAGAAAGCATAAAAGTGTCAGCTGAAATGTACTCTTGCATTTTCTTTTTACACTTGCCTCCTTTTTCCTGAATGTCTGAAGCAATTTGTGGGAAAACGTATCACATGTTGATCAGCATGTTTCCTAAACTCTGGAACCTGGTCCAGTCCATGGCCAATATGATGACGACTCTGGAACGGACTCTGCAAACGTTTGCTATTTATTGCCATACAATAAAACTTTGTGAATTATACATACCATTTGCTTGTTTTGCAGCTCACACTTTTTTCTTATGCTTTTTGAAGAGTAATGTTTAGGGGAAAGTTACATCCATCAGCAGATGAATCTCAAATGTAGAGATCCATCACAAACTCCAAAAGCAAAGTACTTGTAAGAACAAACCGTATTTTTATACTTGTGTGATTCTTATTGTCATTGTAGACCATTTTGATTGACCTTTCCATGAAAATTATTTTGCTTTGCTAGTTTAGTTTAGGAAAATAGTTTCTGATTTAGTTTAGGAAAATGATTTAGTTTAGGAAAATATTCTTCATGCATTCACCACATGGTGGCGATAATGGTTTTTGATGACAGTATATTTTGATTTATGGAACATTCCTTCCCTCTATACTGTAAGGGACAATTAATCAGCCTCTCACCTGGATTACGCCCCTTCATTATACCTACTTCCTGTTGTCTGAGTCTACAGCAGGAAGTGAGCTCAGCAGACAGGGTGTGTGCGTGTGGGGGGGGGCAAGCCTTGAAGTATTATTGTGTGGAATTCCCCCTCTTTCCCAAGTGTGAGGAATTCCAGATCAGCGCACACTCCAGGCAGAAACGGGGATGAAGGAAAACATACAGAAATTCCACCTGAAGCTATTCCAATCAGCAGTTTGTAGGAATTATGAAATATTTCTCTGATTCAGCTGCCTGACTGAAGTGTCCAGTCATGACTGTGCAAACAACAGTGTCAGCAAGATCATGTTGGGAACAGAAACCGTTTTGATCCCATTTAATAATGGGACAGATGCAGCTGTCCTGCGTGTTGCACATTAGTGCTTAACTGTGCAAACGTCAGCTCTTTAACATCTCTGTGTTCACTAGAACTGGAATCAAATAAGCTATCAGACCCTTTTCCTTGCATGATCTTAGACTATTCTGTAAATATGGATTATTGGAGTTAAAAAAAAAAAAGTCATGTTAATTTGCTGTTTGTAATTATTAGTGAATCAAGTGTTTCCTAGCTTTTTTTCCAAGTAAATCATACTCCCCTTGTTCCAGTGTAGGCCTATCCAAGATGTATTTTTTTTAAACACAGTGGACTCAAAATGCAAATTCCCTTAAAAATATTTGTATCTTTGACCTTTCAGGTGCATGTTTATAAGTGGGTTTTCAGAAACCACCCCCAACTAGTCATTTGAAACTCATAAAAAAAAAAAAAAATTCATAACTCTTTTACATAAAATTAAAATGCATGATCACTGGTTCAATTCAGTAGCAGTTTTGCTTCATTCATTACACAAATAATTCTGCATTAGGTTGGGATTTGAACTGTTGTCCTTTAACTTATATCTTTAGTTTAATGCATCTGAGTCTTATGGAAAGAATTATTATTTGTTCTTTGGTTTCGTCTTTTCTTATTTAGGCCTTGACTGCCACTAGTGCCGCCTTGTAATAAAATTTGTGCTTGATGCACCTGCATACAGGTAAGGAAAACAGGTGTAGAATTAAGATTTTCTAGACATACTGACTATTTTAAAGAAAACTGTATGAGAACTCTGAACATCATGCAGATTTTATGTATGCATGTAATACTCTGATGTGCAAGATACAAGCAGAGCTGTGTGAGAAAACTGTATCACAAAGAAACACGCTCAACTTGACCTTCCATCCATTGTGACGAATGAACTGGAAGCAATGTCATCCGTCATTTTAACATCTCCTCCATGACTCATTGTTTGATCAGACTGCCAAAAATTAGGACATTTTTGCACTAAATTGGATTGAAAATCACAAAATAACAGTATTAACTTCCCAGATGATAACTGAATTAAGCATGCAGCATAATGAGTCATGTGAAATCAATGTAGTGTGCTGCTGTTTGAAATGTTTATGGATGCATACAGCATACTTTCACATACTATTTTCTTTTATGGCTGCAGGTGCAGTGGAACCAATTTAGTCCCTTCCTTAAAGGGCTACCATCCCTTCCAAAACCTAGCAAGCTGCTTTTGTAGGCATCACATATCACACATACACAAAAGGAGTCTAAATTTAAGATTTATGAATTTAAATGGCATATAAATCTTCCATCCATTTAGATTACACAGTTTTAACATAAACTGTCATATTCTGAACTGTCATATTCTGAGTTTGTTTCATTCATGTTTGTATTCTGTTTGATTTAGCTTTCCGGTTCTGTTCTAGGTGTTGCTGTTAGTTAATTGGTTTTGTTCTCCTCTGTTCCCTGCCTATTTGTTTCCTTGGTTACTCATTGATTTAGTACTCTGTTGAGGTGTTCCTCATCTGTTTACTCTTGTTTGCGAGTTCTATTTAATCCTGCAGTTTCAGTTCTATCATGGCAGGTTTTAGTTGAGTTTAGTGGTGTTTAGCTGTGCTGAATTGTTTTTTTTTTTCTGTGACTTCTTGGATCTCTGTTTGTGGATTATGCCTTGAGCTTCTGTCTCCAGTGCCTTTATGAGAGTTCAACACCGCATTGCCTGACGTAAACCTAATGTGATGCATTTTTATTCAGAAATAAGATTTGTGTGTGACTTAACAGGTAAGATTTTTGCAGTAGTTCTAATAAACTAAAATGTGTTTTAAATACACAATAACCAGGTTTATATAATTATCACCAATAAATCAAATTTGTTTCAGGTCCCATACATTTTAACTAATTGAATATTGCTTGTTCCGCAGCTAGCTATATATATACAGTGGTGTGAAAAAGTGTTGGCCCCCTTCCTGATTTCTTATTTTTTTGCATGTTTGTCACAATTTAATGTTTCAGATCATCAAACAAATTTAAATATTAGTCAAAGATAATACAAGTGAACACAACATGCAGTTTTTAAATTAAGGTTTTTATTATTAAGGGAAAACAAAATCCAAAACTACATGGCCCTGTGTGAAGAAGTGTTTGCCCCCTAAACCTAATAACTGGTTGGGCCACCCTTAGCAGCAACAACTGCAATCAAGCGCTTGCGATAACTTGCAATGAGTCTGTTACAGCGCTGTGGAGGAATTTTGGTCCACTCATCTATGCAGAATTGTTGTAATTCAGCCACATTGGATATATATATATATTTGAACTGAATACAATTTATTCTTTGAACACATTTATGCATTTTGAAAATGAGTATTTAAATAAACTTAAATATGTATATAGATGATGATAAACCATGTTGTTTTTTTTTTCCTGTACAAATAAACCATGATTTTGGGCAAATATTTCCTGTTTCTTACCCGTTTCATTTATGTATGACTGGTATATATGCATCACAATGTTTATTTGTTTATGTTAAAACTCTGTAATCCAAATAGATGGACAATTTATGTGCAATACATAAATCTAAGTAATTTGAGTGTAGAAGTTCTTCAGATGCTACGGTCATGCTTTTGGTCAAATTGCATGTATATAGATAATGCACAGCGCCAAGCCCAGCCAAATCAAATGAAATTCAATTCTAAATCTTTCAGTCTAGTTAGAAACTGACTGTATTACCCAATATTTTGGGATTATATACATAAAAATATAGTGTAATTTTGTGCTTATTAGAATACTGTTTTTTTTTTTTTTTTTTAAGCTTTGTAACATTCAACACAAACATCTATACAGATAATAAATTTTGCATCAGGAGGGTTATTTTAATAATGGAAGTTGCTGCCTATGTAGTGCATTCCAATTGAGTTAGGATGCTCCCTTAAAAGGTACTACTAGGTTTTGGAACAGAGGCCAAATCTCACAGTAAGTGAGTCTTTCCAGTGCTCTATATGGAAAGATGCAGTGCTGAACCTGTCTGATATACCTGGGCCAGGTAAAAAAAAACCCACAGCATTCATGCTCATGGTTATAAAACAGACTGCTGAAGTGCAGAGGAGACAGATTTGTAAACGTTGACTGGGAGAATGAAGGAATGGCAACTTGGCGTGTATATCCAGGAACCCTAGGGGCAAAAACTGGTTGGATCAAGGCTGATTAAATGTTTGACGTAGCTTCAATTTCAGCCGTCATGAGCTTGGCAGTCTCATTTGGGTCGTCAGACCTGTGATGGTGAGTGATTGGGTTGGACTTGCTCACCAGTATTCATCAGAACATTGGTCAAGCATTAGTCTATATGCCAAATCCTCTGCGCTCCCATTGTGTGAGGAACAGACCAAAAATTGTTGTGTTTCACTGATACTCTTCCGCTCACAGGTCATGCCACGTTCGATGTCACTAAAGCCGAACACCATTGTTACTTGAGTGTCATATGACTTATTGTGTTGGTGCAAGTTTAATAAGTGGCACTGCAAATAAGATATTCCTGCACCATTCCTGTAGCTCAAAGAGAAGAGCATGGCATTAAAAGTACCAAATCAAACCCAAAGTCTGAAAAGTAAAAATTTATACTTTCAGTGCAATGTATGTTGCTTTGGATAAAAGCGTCTGCCAAATGCATATAATAAAGATACAGCAGAGGGCAAGATTTTAAGTGAATAACTGCATTGCAAAACTCATGATGTAAACACTGTGCGATTTACCCATGAAACCATATTAAATGTAGTCTGGGTTCGATTTTCTTTTATTTCGGGTAGTTTTGTTCTGGTTTTTGAGAATGAGGGAATGTCATACAACTGTCAAATTTGACTAGATTCAACCAAGTGGCAGATGAGTTTGCTCTAAAAATCAATTGAATTGAACCTTTGACGTAACAAACAAAAGTCCCTTTTGCATATTTATAAGGATTTAAGAATCGTTTTTTCCACAGCCAAATCAGAATAGACTTGCGATTTTTGATTTTGCAACCCACCGGTAGAAAACCACTAAAACTTGAGGTGAACTAAAACTTTTTGTACTTTTTGAACTATTTTTTTTTTCTCTCTCTCTCTCTCACAGATTTTAGACATCTTGATTAATGGCAGCTTTTCATTTTTACAAGGTTTTTGGGGACAAACGCAGTGCAACAATACCGTACAACATTTTACAGTTAATTATTTTTTGCTGACCAGAAAAGTCTAACCTAATTTATCATCTCCGCAACATATGTTCCATTTG